TGTTTAGTGATGCTGAATATCTCAGAGGATTAGCAAAGCTTTAACCTATAAAGCTGACAAAGCATTTTTCTTAGCATCGAAATCTATATAAAAAGTGTTATCAAAAAAAATGCAACGCCACTGTCAGTTTACTTCACTGCTCTTCAGTGAGAGTTTTTTTCCTGCTTGACTGGGAGTAAGGTAACACATCCACCAGAGCTGTTTAAATTCCTTTCTTGGCTTGTGTCTTACAAGGTTCACAGTTAACAGAAGAATTTCCATAGTGGGATTTGGATTATATGGATCTATTCATGGACCCACAGACTATCAAGTTAATATACAGGTACAGTATATAATGTTCAAATAGGCTTGTGCAGGAACTACACTTCCTAAAGGTTTGGTCTATATTTGGATGGGAGCAATTGATAGGCTTAGGAATCTAAGCTGTGTTTTGTCCTCAACAGTGGGCATAAGTGGATGATTAGGCAACAATAAGAACAGTATGAAACTCTTCTTCCCTTTCTGCTGTATTCTCCTGTCCTTTAATCATTTTCAGTACAGGTGTTTTCCAACACCCAGCTTTTTCCCCATTTTCTCAAGCCTTTCCTAATAGGAGATGTATGTACTGATACTGTATTTGGGCATGTGATGTCCTTCAGTAGTCTGCATGCTTCTTATAATGATTTGATTTTCCTAATTACTACTTTTTAGTTTCTTTTGAACAGGCTTCCTCATTTTTGTCTTTTTGAAATTTAGCACAGCTGTGGAGGATTTGCTTTTGTTGTTCACATGGGAGTGTTGACTAAGAATATTATGGACACTGTTACATAGTGTTTCCATTATGAAATTTTGAATCTGATCCTGCTCATCGCTCAGTACCAAATCAAGGGTTGTGTTTCTTCCTACTGAGCAATTGGTTAGCAAGCTCAGGGAAAGGCCAGTGATAGCATCTAAAAATGTCACCCCTGCTTTGTCCTGGGGTGAACCTTGCCTGCTCTGAGTGGGTAATTGAAGGCACCACTAAAATTGTATTTCCTGATACAGCACTGTATTTTCCTTTTTAAATGTGGAATTTCAGTCCTTTTGAATTCTTTTTCTTGGTGAGGTTAGTTTTGGTTCTAAGCTTTCTAACGAGGTATTAGCATTCCATGGCTGGCACCATTTTACCCTGTGGTGTATATTTCATAAGCTGGTACTGTCACATCACATTGATTTATTAGGTGCATGGGAAATTAGGTACATGAAAGAAATAGTCTGTGACTTCATTTAGAGGCAGAAATTCTGTTGTCCCTACCTGATTTTGTAGATTTCTAGCATATTCTGGAACTGCTGTTTCAGGTAATTTCTGAGCATTCTATTTAAATGACAGTTTATCTTCTGTTTCCTATTTGATGATTATTATTATCTGACTATTTTGTACTTAAGGATATGGATTTTGTGTCTGTCTCTTAAGAAAAAAAAAAAATGTTGTGCCTTTCCTGTTATGTTTCAGAGTGTTTCTGGAATGAGGTTTTGAAGGAATTTGGCTTTTCCACATTCCTAAATTTAAAAGCTCACTTGCAAATTTCTTGAAGTACCATCAATTTGGTTTTCTTAAACTCTACATCCATGTAAATGAGTAGTACAGTGCCACTGGGTTGGATCTTTAGAACAAAAGAGTTGGTCCTGAGAATCTATCAGCTATACTGTGTATATTTGGGGATTTTTACTTCATGTTATCTCTTCATTTTTAATCTCTCTGCTGAATTCCTGTTAGCAGATGCAAGCATTTAGTGTGTTCCCTCAGGATGTTTGCTGGATTTATTTAATCTGAAAAGAATTTAGGTTTTTTTCAAGGCAAACCAATGTATATTTAGTGGGAATGATCAGAAGATTCACTTGAAAAAGATCCTCCGATCCAAACTGAAAGGCTAGATATACCCTTATGGTTCAGATTAAGACCATCCATCTTGGGTTCTCTTTATCCTGCAATTAACTTCCTTGTCCCAATCTTTTCAGACATGTATTTAAGTTCTGTGCCTCTACCTTTCTTCTTGAATCTGCATCAGTACTAGCAAAGCTTTAGAGAGTTAAACGTTTAAAACTTCTCTTAAATAAGTGATAATGTATATTGCAAATAAATCTTTTATATGAAAAGGGCTTAGGACTTCACCATTATAATTGTTAATATTTCTATTGATTGTGGCTGGGAAAAAAAATAGAGCATATTTTGCCTAGAATAAAGCTTCATCTCACGTAATACTAAAAATTATATGGCAATTTAAAAATAAAATACTAAAACTGATAGGATTCTTCTTAGTGCAGTAATCATGAGAAGTGTTCTACTCTAAAGCTCTGATATCCAACTCCTGCAAGAGGTGTTGGGCAGCATGGATCAGTCTGGCAATCCAAAATAAGAAGTGAAGTATCTGCAATTACTACGTTGTAGTTGGTCATTCCTATTCGCCACTAAACTTGAAGGCACAATAAATATTGTGTAGTCTGAGTGTAGTTTTTATTCTGAACCTAGATTAGAAATAAATTGTATAAAGCATAGCAGGACAAGTTCTTTTTTTCTTTTATGAATGTATCATTGACTGCTTACATTATCTGTAAAAACTTTTCTATATCAGCCACAGCCAGAGAACGCGCTTCCCTCACACGGGCTGTGTAGGTGTGTAAAGATCAGCAATTACACTGGGTGGAGTAGGCAAGTGTTTGCTTGTCATCTTCTCATATGCATACAATGAGAATCTTTCTCATGCTTGTAACCCTAAGAATACTGTTTTCATGTTTTTGCACAGATAATTGATTATGAGAAGAATCAGACACTAGGACAGAACGATACTGGGTTTAGCTGTGATGGAACAGCCAGTACCTTCAGAGTTATGTTCAAAGAGCCCATCGAGATTCTGCCCACGGTTTGCTACACAGCTTGTGCAACGTTAAAAGTAAGAATGTCTAACAGTAGAGAAGAAAGTGTTACTTTGATGCAAGAGTTGTTCTTTTATCAGTCTTCTGATGGGAAAGTGTCTTCTAGATCTTGATTTTTGGTTTAGGGCTAAAGAAGGACGTAGTTAAACTCCACAGTAACTTGTAAGACTGCTATATCTCTTCTGTGCCACAGCATGGACTTAGTAAGTGGATCCTTTGTGCCTTCTCACTTTGTGGCGTGATGTAGGTGTTAGAATGAGTCCTAATGAAAGTTACTGGTTCTGTGTGGGGAAAAAGCACTATCTAAAATATTTAATCTGGCAGCTGTCTATCAAAATTGAAGTTTGATTCACTGATTGAAGTTTGATTCTTGACTGCTCTAGCTGGAGTCAAGGAAACAAAGATTTTTTTTTCATCACTTTTTAGATACTAGTGCTGAAACAATAGACAAGAATTACTTGTTCTGGGAAAGTCTCTCCTTGATATTGTGGACAAATGTATTTCTCAAGATTTTTTTAATATTCTTCTAAATATAATTCTCTGTTACAGAAATCAAAATTGAATGGGTTGGGAAAAATACTGCACATTAAAAGAAGCTGAGGCAGGGAACTAAGTGAGAATATAGACAACCTGTGTGATAAGGAGAAACACTAGAAAGTATTCATTACTAGTTGGATAGAATCAACTGGTTTAAGTCTGCTGTCAGAGAAATGTTTTTTTGCTAGTTAGACATACAAGCGCTTGCTTCTGTTGTCTGTGATTTTGTATATAATTTATATGATGTGGGTACAGAAATTTTATACTACTAAAATAACTCAGCAGTGTTTGAATCTTAGCAATTTATGGGTCTTGCCTACTTCCACTCAGTTGCTAATCTCTTGTGATATTTTTCAGGGTCCTGATTCCCACTATGGAACAAAAGGTTTGAAGAAAGTGATCCATGAATCTCCTACTGCTAGCAAAACATGCTTTGTCTTTTATAGTTCACCAGGTAACAACAACGGTACATCAATAGAAGATGGACAGATACCAGAAATAATATTTTATACTTAGTTTCACATGATGATCTGGAATGTGTCAGTGTCTCAGTGGACTTCAGCTCACTATTGGCAGTTAAAAAATTCTCTGAAATTACATCACTGTGTGAAAACAAATCTATCTTGTTTGAGGGGTACCAGAAAAACTATTTTTTTTTCTGCATCATTATTGGCAGAACGTAATTTAGCTTTTCCTCTTAACAAAATGTCAAGTGGAGAAAGTACTCTGTATATTGAAATGTTTGTTTTATTTGTTTTAAACAGTATCATGTGATTAATTGCTTTGTCTTTTCACCCCTTCGTTTCTCTTGTAGTAAAATTCATTTTTTGAACTGGAAAATCCTTACTTGTTATGAACAACTTGCGTACGTTTTCCCCAATCTGTCCTAAAAAGACCATAAAGCTGCTGTTGTAGTCCCATCTTGCACTTCTTTCCAAAATGACCTTGGAATGACCCTATGGACATGGATTGCTACTATATTTTTTTGAAGTACATCAGCAAAGCTGGATTTATATTGCCATCACCTTGACTTTTTTGGATGAGCCATTGAGAATTAATGGACATTAGCACTGCAGAGAGCATCTGCAGCTGCACTGAAGAAACACTAAGTCAACTTCAGCAACAAACAGATCTTTCCAGAATCTCTCTTAATTCAGAAGGGCTGTTTTGGAATATAGAACTGGTTATGGAAATAGCCACTGCATATACATATGTGCCTATAAAAAATGTATAATGTGAAAATGAGAATACAAGACTTGTAACGATGTTATTTTATCATCGGATATTCTAGCACTAAAAAAAATTAGTATAAACCTAAGGATTACTTGTGTGCAACTAGTTTTACAGATTGCACACAATACTTTGCTGCCATTGCTGTATGTATATAGTACTCAGTGTCTTGCAGTATGTACTTTGTAGCAATAGAATGTCTTCGTGTACCCTTCCCCAGATTATACTAAAGTAGTAATTTGAGAATGCAGGAGAATAATAAGAAAACTTCCTTCTTTTTTTTCCTCTGTGTAAAGGGGGAAGGTCACGCAGGTTTTGTGTCTCAAAAAGGCCGCGTGTAGAACAACGTCAAAGGGCTGTTCCCTGGAAGCTCTGCGGTACCGCGGGGAGGGGGGCCGGCAGCCGGGGCTGGGCTGAGCCGGGCACGGGTCCCTGTGGGTGACACGGGTCCCCGTGGATCACACGGGTCCCTGTGGATCACAGGGATCCCGGTTACCCGGATCCGGACACCCGGAGCGGCCGTGCCGGAGCGCGCAGGCTCCGCGGGGCGGGCCCAGCCGGAGCTGCCGGAAGGGCTATGCCGGCCCTCGCCGGGTTCCGCCGGGTGTTGGCGGCGCCGGTGCGGAGCGGCGGGGCCATGCCCGGGAAGGTGCGGGCGGGAAGGGGCAGGGGAAGGAGAAAGGGAAGGGGCGGGTGGTGACCGCGCTTGTTCCTCTGTTTCAGGGCAAAGGAGCCGCCAAGGGCTCCGCGGGCGCGGACGGCGCGGCGGGACCGGTGGTGGCGGCGGGCGGCGGCTCCGTGAGGGTGGCGGTGCGCGCCAAGCCCGGCGCCCGCTGCAGCGCCGTCACAGGTGGGTCTGGGACCCCCGCCGGGGGTCTGGGGTTTGCCGCCGTCCCATGAGATGGTCTTGGGGGGAACACGCAAAAGCCCACCAGGGAACTGAAGCGGGAAGTTCCGCGCTCCAGGGGTCGCTCGTTCGCGGACTCCGTGGGCAGCGCTGGGTGGCGCGGTGAGCACGGGGTGAATTCTGGTTGGTTTGTTTGTTTTGTTTTGTTTTGTTTTAATTAAGGGAGTAACGGCAAACGCAGTTGATCGGACCTTCAGTTTGGCATCTGTGGTTTAGTGTCGCGAGAGTCTGTGCGGGTTTATTAGAACCGTGAAAGCTCTAATAAAGGTCTGATAAAGCGCGTTCTCCCTCTACTGCCCGGGATTGCCCGTGCGCACATTGGAACCGCTTTCATACACTGTGTGTGTGACTGGCGGGGGCCGTATCGGTGTCCAGGCTCGGGTGGCAACGCAGGGAAGTTACTGATAGCACGGCTCTCTGAGCAGGCTGATTTAACACGCGGATTTTGGTGGGGTAACCTGCTTTTTGTTGTGTTACGTGATGCTCAGCAGGAACAACACCTCCGTCAGGACGGGCGACTGAGAGGAGCTCAGAACGGTGCCCCCACTGAGAGAAAACTTAATACTTATGGCTGCACTGCGGTACGGTCTGAAGGATTGACTGCTTTTAGTGTCAGAAGTTTATCTTTGATTGTTCTGGCCAACAGTTTAAGGGAATTTGTGCAGTGTGAAGATGTCATTCCCTGCTAATCTATACGTTTGTTTGGTTTTGAATTAAAATGCTTTGGAAGGCATAAACACTCATTTTTAGGAAACAAAAGATGTTTTGAATATCTCACACGTAAAATGCTTGAAATATTTGTTGTAGATGTGACAGCTGAGGCAGTAGGTGTAGCTATTGCTGCACCCCCGTCGGAAGGGGAGGCAAATGCAGAGCTGTGTCGCTACCTCTCTAAGGTGCTAGAAGTGAAGAAGAGTGACGTTGTTTTAGAGAAGGTACTTCCTTTTCTTCGTTTCAGTTTTTCCTACTGCAGTTGAAATTCAGGATTTTGAAACTTACACATTTAGGTACAGTCTGAAAGACACTTTATAAAGTGTCTCCAAGTTCAGTCTGAAAGACACTTTATAAAGGTTTTTAGTTGACTTAATGGCATGATTCATTGAGAACAAACCTAGCATAGGAAGAATTGTTTCTGTGTTCTTCAAAGATTCTCTTGTTTTCATGTTAAATGCAGTTCACAAAATTTCTGCTTCAGAGAGAATTTGGATTTTATTAACAACTTTTCACTCTTTTTTAAAAAATAGCTTCTGTGAAAGTTATTTGAGTTAAAATTTTCTGACATTTAACTGTCAGCAAGAGCATATATAAGCACTTGGGTTACAGCTGGGCCACAAAAGTTTGTCTCTTTAGAATTTACATGTCTTGACTTTGGCAAGTGGAAATTTTGTTTTATTTATTGCACTGAATAAATAATTTCTTTTATTAATTCATTGTACTTAAAGTCAGTCTTTCCAGCCATTTTCATTTATCGTTTATGAGCATAAGGGCACAATAAAAATAAAAAACACTATTTTTTATCTGGTAGTTTAATGTTGCAGTCATAGAAGTCTTTTAATGGATAGTGGTAAATGGCAGTGTGATCAATGAATTGAGCACTGTGTTGCCAGAAGGTAGAGATGCAAAGACTTGAGTCTTCTTTTTCTTGAATCATGGGTAAACTGCTTCAGTTGTTTATCAACATTTTATAAATATCACCCTTTTCCTACCTTCAGGGGTGGTTCTCTGAAAGATGTTTTTTTGTATGTTTGTCTAAACCAGGGTGGTAAATCACGTGACAAAGTGGTGAAGATTTCGGTATCAATGACACCAGATGAGATTTTAGAAAAACTGAAAAAAGAAGCTTCCAGTTGACCTAAAACAAGAGGAGGAAATGGGACAATGCATCTTGGTAAATGGACTGATACTCTTTCTTACATAATGTAGTGCTGTTGAAGAGTGTGGGTAATGACTACAGAAAAATACTTCTTCCTCCCTTCCTCCTTTGTACATATAGCTCCTGTATCGTTGAAGTTTTTTGTGTAGGTTTGATTAGAAAAACTTGTCTTTCCTGAGGCTCAGTATCCGCTTCTGTCACTACAAACTTTCTTCTGCTCTGGAGAGTTTCCTGTTGGTAAGATTTGTCCTCTTTCCTGGTCTCTAAACAAGTGGTTTAGAAAACTTGTTTCTTAGTGAAACAAACTTTGGTTAACTAAGTGAAAGGCTTGGAGTGACAGGCTTCCATGTGAAAAGTGGTACAAAAGGATGAGTCTGGATGGTAAAGACCTTAGAAGAATGTCCTGTTTGGTATCTCGTGGCGGGTACTGTGTGCAGCTCTGCACTGTGGGCACTTATGGGCATCTAAAATAAATATATTTGAAGCCAATGCACTGCTGTTGATCACACAGGCAAGCTAAAAGCAGAATCACCTGAACAACTGAAACAAACCTAGAAGTTTTCAGTATGAAAAACCAATGCAGAACCCAGTAATGGCACACCTGGTGTCACTTTGCAATAGTCTGTAATTAGTTCTCTTAAAAGTAGAGATACGATCATATATATATGTATATTTGCCAATTGTATGTCAAGTATAATGACTTTTTAATAAAAGGAGGGAAAATATTATTAAACTTTGTTTTGTGTTTGTATTTTTAACAAAAAAAATTGTTTCCTGGAAGTCATTTATGTTACTCTTAAATGTGGCTTTTTTAGAATTTTTCCTTGGTTTAAAAACAAGTAGTATTCCAACCCCTAGAGGACTGAGTGGAGTCATCTGTAGAGTGGAACAAGAAGCCTGGACTTCTCTCTTTATCATGCTTCAGAAGTCAGAGTAAGATTTAACTGGTATTTTCCAAAAATGTATGTGATATCACACGTGTCTCTGGTAGGAGTTTTCTTTTTCATCTGCATCATTGCTGATGTCTGAAATTGTCCTGTCTTTATCCTGTGGTGGCCATATTAAAAAAATGTATATAAATGTAATGCCTAAAGTAAAAAATACAAACAATTTTTAAGGTTTGCTTAAGGTTTCTCCTGGAAAACAATGCTGTCAATGCACAAGTTACAACTAAATTTCTTTACCAGCTGCACGCAGTGCAGACTTCATCGCTCGTAATGTAGCTTTTCACAGACAAAAATCTTTTGCTTTAGGAAATTCTTTCTGCTTCCTGTTATCCTAAATATGGCAACAGTTGTTTTTGGAGTTAGAGATCTGGTGTTTGTCAAGATGACAGCTCCTTCAAGGCGACTTATTTTAGAGATGTAATGAAAAATGTTACTTTCTTGTTTGGAGAACTGAGTCTAAATTCTGAATGTTGTTTGCTTAATGTTTTGCACCTGGGCTCCTTATTTTCTCAGGCATTTGGGCAGCCATACATTGCCTCAGTCGTCTTTCCTTACTCATCTTTTCCGTCTGCTGATTTCATTTTGCTGTTCCATCAGTTTTGGTTCACAGCTCTTTGCTGTTACACCTGCTCTTGTCCAGCAGAGGGGAACCGTGTCTTGCAGAAAAATTAAGGCAAAGCAAACCAAAACGAAGTGTTCCTGGTTTGTTGCTGTTGTTTTTTTCTAATTTTCTACACTTAAAAAACACCAATAAAAAGACTGAGGAATTCTGTGTTTATTATATTTGGAGTTGGATGCTACAACAGCCATTATACAGATTTCTTTGGGAGTTAATACCATGTGTTACATTGCATGTATTGTATACTCTATTGAAATAATGTATTATACTTGCCCGTGGCTTTAGACACAGACTGAGGGAGGAGCTGGGTGGGCAGGTGCAGTCTCCAAAGTACCTTAGTCTTCAGTTATGATTATCTACAGTAGCCAATTTAATCTTTCAGTTCCCTCTCTATATTGTCAACACGTTCTGCCTAGCCTTTGCTAACTTTTGCTTTGGAGGCTTCACCTTTCCTAAACACCTTCAGCTGGAATTCTGTGTCTGTGTTTCCTAATCAGTGAAAGCTTCAAAAGTAGTAGTGTGACAAATAAAGCCTTTATGTGCTGGGAATGGAGAATTTTTTTAAATAAGAGTAACCAAAAGTATTTTAGAAGGGTAGTATAAATAACACTGGGGTATTGCCATATATAATATCTGAGAGCCTCTTCTATCAATGTGTTTCATGCAGTCTTCCAGTTATATCCCTAGTATCTTATCTGTGGATATATGTATCCTGTTGAAATGCCTGGGAGGCAGGAACTGCTGGTCCATGGTATATCAACAGTGAGGTAGAGAAGAGTTAAGAAACTTGTGTGAACAGGTCAAAGCCAAATCTGTGATTTATGCCTCCTTCAAATCTTGCCTTGAAATCCTAACCTGTCAAATGTCTCTTCCTGAACACAGTGAAATGTCTTTCATTCTGTTGAGAAAATTGTGGTAGCACATATCCCTTACTCCAGCAGAGTATGTTTTTAAGAGAGCAGAGCTATGTGATATCGTAAGAAGCTTTGTCCAAGAATTTCAAAACACTTTTCAAACCCTGGCTCAAAATAAACTCTTATTCCTAGACCAATTTAAAAACATTGTGGTGGCAGTTGCTACCCTCCTTTTACTTCTTGGTCCCTGCTTTATCCATGTGCATTAAGCTGCATGATTACTCAACTACTTGAAATTCTACTATTGACTCAAGCACTGTCCTCTTTCCCTAATGCATGGTCTGACCAATTTCAGTAAAATCTATCTAATGGTGATTTAATATCTTGCTGCTTGCAGACCTAGGCAGTCAGTGGATTTTTTAAAATATAATTAAGTTGTTTAACATTAGCAAAATAGAAGTTATCTGAATAAATTCCATGCCAGTCTTATGGCAGAAGGTTCTTAGTCTTTCATCCACTCAGTTACATTTATTTTCTAAAATCCAGCTTTGAAAGTATGTGGCTTTACTGCAGTACTTTAATATGCTAATTAAGGATATTTAATTATACCCTCTGAAACTGGCCTCTTTGCTCTTTTACTTACAATCCACTCCATTTACCATCTGCAGCGCCATGTTCCTATCCCTCCTTTTAATCCCAAGTGTTTCTAAATCCCCATTTCTTCAGGTATCATCTGTCTAAATAATCCTGGATAATTGACAACTTTGTCAATAACTGGCAGCAGCAATTTAGCAGAAAGCACAGTTGTAATATCTTCCTTCTTTCAGCTTCCAGGAAGACAGATACACCTGATGTTCCTGCTCAGCACTTCACATCTCACTGTTTCCTGTCTCACTATGTTTATTTGCATGTGTAAAACTTAAATCAGCTGAGTTTAATTTTTTTTTTTTTTTGCTCCAACCTACTGTATTCTCCTCTTAATGTTTTTAGTCTTTATCTAGGGAGGATGATTCATTGCCATATTGACTATTATAAAAATAAGCTCCCCTGTCTCCTTTGGGCAACACAGTGCTTTACCCACATGTAAAACCTGTCCTGGTTATTATTCTCTAGGAAGGGGCTGCACTTGGGGCAAGGTGCTGTTAATATAACTGAGGCACAATAAACAGTCAAACAACTGCTGAAGAAATTAAATACTTGCCTGAAAGGAGGAGTGTGATACTTCTCTGAGGTACTGGGAATTAATTTCTTCCTGGTCCTTTATAAGCTTTTCAAGTAATTGTTACTGAGCCAGAAGAATTTACTTTCATTTATAAATGCAGCATTTATTTGATCCTGCATTGTTTCAAGAGCTGAGGAAGTTGGAGTGATGAAGTAGTCCACCATACCATCTTACTACAGCCTGAGGGTAAGTTTTTGAAATGTTGTTTAAATAACATTTTGAGTTTTCAAATATGAAGCATGGCAGGTGGAAAGGAAAATATATTGAGTATCAATTTAGCAGTTGGTCAGTACAGAAATGTGCTGTAAAGAGAGCAGTTAACTATAGACCCAAGGAAAAAAAAAGAACAACAGAGGCTCAAAGCCTCATGTCATGCTGCTCAGATAAAGCAGTTGTTTCCCTTAAGAGAATAACTGGAGTTACAAACTGTAATTCTGGCGTGATTGTCAGTGAGTTGCCTTTTTTCTAACACGTACTAGGTGTGCAGTGCATGTGGGAGGGGCTGCAGCATGCTGTTCCTTTGGCCAGGTTTTGTTGCTGTAATGCTTTGCAAACCAGGATGCATTGAGGCATAATTTATAACAAATTTCAGAGCTCCCAATGCATTTGAGAACATACATGGTGCCCAGCTGTCTGACAGGGGCATTGCTACGTTGAATTTTATAAAACAAGCTATTTCTATGGAACCATTTTTGGTTTTTAGCAGTGCTACTTTCCATAGCTTGTCTTAAAAAATCTACAAAGTTTTTTGCTTCTCTTCTGATGTTCAGGTCTGTGGGGTTACATTTTATAGTGATATCAGCACACACCTTCCTGCCACATTTGGGTCCTGGGTTCCTATGCCCTCTTGCTGCCTCCCATGTTCAGTTCTGCTGCTGTTGTTTCAGGGAAGTGCCCTCCAGCAGGATCAGGCTCCCTGGGGTTGTTTCTACTCTTTATTTGTCACGTCAGCGTTGATGCTGACTCTTATCTCCTCAGATGCCACTGCATTTCTTTTTCTGTGTTTCAGGCCTGACAGCTCTTTGAGATGCATTCATTGTGCAAGGAGGGCAAAGACCTTGTGATACAATCTCTGCAATCAGAGGGCAAACCTGTCCCTTCCAGTGAGGCCCTGTAGCAGCTCTGTGTAGCCTCCTGGCATGTGCCCTTTAATGGAACTTCTCCTTTTGTCTTCAGTAAATCTGATAGCAATCAGGCAGCACATATGTGAGGTCATGTTCCTGCTATGAGGAAAGATTGCTGTTAGCTACTGGGATACACTTCTGAACAGACAATTTTCTTCAGTTTCTTAACTGCCTTTTTACAATGGAAGTGCAAACTGTTACTAATAAACCTGATAGTTTATGGGTTTGGGGGAGATTTTTTCTTTTTGTTCGAAAAACTCGATTAAGCTCATCACTGGCTGAATATAAATGCTAATACATAGAGGGAACCAGCCAGCCAAATTGCACTGGCTAATTTCACTTAATGAGAATGTCTGATTCTGCTCAGTCACTTTCTTGCTGAGTTCAAATTCAGCTGCTAAAGCAGACCCAGGAGCTTTTTGTTAAATATTTTTAAAAGATGATCAGTTTATAATGATGTTTTCAAAGTGTGTGACTTCTGTTTGCTGTGATTGATGTCACATACCAGCTAGAATAAAATTTTTTCTTTATTTAATACCATGCCAGGCAGTATTTCTGGCAGAAGATACATGTGAAAAGAGAACATCTGAAAACACTAATTTGACTGTATCTGTTGTTAAATTGTGGATGCAAGGCAAGACCTGTCTTTCAGAAGCCAAATACCAGTATATGTAAAAGCAGAGAGGGTGTAAGATCTAATTAAAGACAACTTTGAGTAGTCTGAAAAATATATGAATCCTAAATATGCAAAAATAAGTAATGGCAGTCTGTCAGAAGAGGTGTTGGTGCACATTACACACTTAAAGACAAAAAGAATGTGTAATACCAGAGCTTGCCACAAACCTTTCTGCCAGTTTAATGAGGTTGCCATTGCAAAGCTGAATGTACTTTTTTTTTCTCTTGATTTTGCTGTAAGGGAGGCCTCCACAAGAAACAGAAGATTTTCTGTGCCACTCTTCATGTCACAAGGCTGTGAAGAAAAGTTCCACTAGAGCATGTTTTATGAAAAATGGTGTTTAACAACCTTTTCTATAGAAAACCTTTGATTTCTGAGCTGTGTATAATTTCTGCTCACTTCAGTCTTTTGGTCTTTTTACCTGGAGAGGAATTTAGTGAAGTGCTCCAAGTTTTACACACTAGGACTTATAAACTTAAATAAGCAATTCCTGTTAATTTATTTTCAGGCCTTAGCTATTTTCAGGCTGGGTTTTAGGCTTTACCCTATGGTTATCCAGTGTGAGGTACCTTGATTAAATTCTCAGAAGAAACAGACCTCGTTTGTTTGATTCCTGGTTTTGCATAATAAGGGAACTACTCAAATCCAAAAATAAAGAAAATAAAACATGGGGAGCAGGAGGGGAGAGAAAGGGAACAATTTTGTTAATCAAAGGTTAATTTATTGGACTAGGAGCAGATTTGCTTGGCTTCTTGGAAGTATTTGCTGCATGTCCTTCTAAGCTCTGCTGGGAAGGACGATGCACAGAATAGAGGGTGTGATAGACTCCAGGTGTTTTATGGCACCTGCTCTGCTGTTTAGCACTCAAGTCAGAATGGGGAAAAAACTGTTAGGTTTTCAGAGACTGTAAATCTAATAATTTGCAATATAACTTTCACAGTTATTTTTTACTTGCAATCTGTGAATCTAGGTGGGAAAATTATATTACCTGTGGCCCTCTTGGTGTGACTCCTGAGCTCTTAAATGCCAATCTGAAATTTTCTGGAAGGAAAGATTGATCTTCTGAAATTATAGGTTCATGTGAGGGTCATAAATGCATAATATGGAAAGAGCATCAATTGATGTGCTCGGTGTTGGGTTAAAATACAAATTCAGATGGAATGGTTGGTGAGCCGCTTGTAAGTATTTCATCTATTCTGCCTTCCTGTCTCATTTAAGTAAATTGATTCTACAAAGGCAGCCACATCTTGCCAGTATTTTTTCGTTTTGGTGACTGAACTATTACCTCTCACAGCAGGGCAGGACTAACACTTTGTAATTGCTGTGAGAGGCTGGCACATCTCTTTAACGCCAGAGTCAGCCAACTGCAGCTCCCAGGGTCTTGCCTTATCTGCAGAGCTTTGTCCAAAGTATTGTGAGATCTCCCACAGGTTTCCATTATGCTGAATTGGCAGCCCTGGGAACCCAACCTCCAGCCTTTGGCAGCAGGAGGAGCTGCTGCCAGAAATGCTCATTCAGGTTGGTGGATACGGTGAGTTGGCTCTGAAGGGGAAGAGAACTGTGGACTGTATTAAAAATTGTGCCAAAATATGAGACATGTTCTTCTATTTCTGTGTCAGAAAAAAAGCGTTAAGGCTCTAATTAAAGACAAATTTGAACTTGGAGAAATTCATGCCCATCATTGGCACCTTTCATCTCTGAATTTCAGAGCTAGCCCCTCTGCTATATGAATTTTCACTGCTGCAAAAGTACAAATACCAAAAGAGGGTGACACTTCATGGTTCAAATGAAATCACTTGGAAATGCTTTAAATTAGGTCTTCTGATTAGCTGCCTCACTGGATAGTGTAGTATGTGAGAGAGTAAATCAAGCACTTATTTTCCTTTGCTTTGCTGTCTGTGAACAGCATTGAGCAGAAGAGACAACCATCTATCTGTCTTCCAAATTATATGCTTTCTTCACAAAGGAGCCTTTGGTCTACTGCTACATGCCTGTTCAGTTTTAGAGGATAAATACAGCCCACAGTTTTAGAGGATAAATAAATCTGTGACTTCTTATTTGCAACAAAAAAGTGTGACTGGAGAGAGGGTTGGCACAAGAGAATAAGCTATCAAGACTGTTGTGAATGTTGGAGTGGCAGCAGGGAGATGGCTGCATTTAAGGATTTTAGAGAAGAACTTGTCCTAAATAATAAGGTTTGAGCCAACTGTAGAGAATAGGACTGCTGGTTATCTTACAAGTCTTATATTATCTTATATCTATATATGTGTCCAGTTTTCTGAAGGACAGAACCTTTTTGAAAGAAAAATGTCAGACTTCTAAAGTTAGCAAATAAGAGCAGATGAACTAGGTATAGCAACCTCTTTGTTTTATCCCTTTAGCCCATTTTTTTCTGTTTGTAATAACCTAGAAATTCTCATTCTAGATTAGATGTGGTTTCTTGGAGATGCACATTCCTCTGTTCCTCTGGTAAAGCTCAAAGTCTCTTGTTGTCACTGTAATGCAAATAATAATAAGAGCATAATCAAGGTTGTATTTGTTTTGTGATTATTCTGAACACTAGAGACTAACAGTAATTATAATACCATTAAATAGTAATGGAAAAAGATTTAAAAGTAGATCATGAGACTCCTGGAAGGAGGCGAAAATCTTGCTCCCTTTTCTTCACTGCTGCAGGCATTGCATTCCCCTCTTTTATGGCAAAAAGAGGAACCTAAAGTGTTTTCCAAAATGCCAGGGGTCAAGAGCACCATTTGAAGGACAGGTTTATGTGGGAGAAACTAACTAGGAACTAATTCAGTTTCAAAAATTAGTTTCCTTGTAATTTTAGTAGTGCATTTAGTAGTCAGAGATACTGCATTTAGTGCCCAGAGACAGGAATATAACTTTGAAGAAAGCAATGCTTCTGTATACCTCTATACCTCTCACCATGGGATCTGATTGCTTTATAAATCTATGCAGCCAGTGTTATGACACTATTTCAAACTTTTTTGTGGTGTGCAGATGAGAAAGCAGTATGTGATACAGCTCTATGGCCGAGACCTTTGTTCCATGAAACAATACTCAGTCCCTACATCATGGTTTGTGTAAGGTGGTATTTACCTCCCGTCTTCTTTCATATGTGTTCACAGGGTAAAGCTCCTGTCATGTGCTTGAAACTTTGTGTAATCCAAGGGATAAGAACACTGTCCATCTGGAAGCCAGGTAATAGTATTGGTTGTGCTAAGACTTGGTGGCAGGGTTCCCCAGGGCCAGGGGTGTCTTTGTAGGTTCTGTGTTTTGCACATGAGATAGACCAGCTCCAAGGAGCCTTGCAGCAGCTGCGAGACCCTTGCCTTGCCCTTGCTTTGGGATGGGTATGTCTTAGGGAAAAATAGTTTTCATTTGTGTAGTTTAGTCTGTCTACTTTGTCTTATGTGAGCCACAAAGTCTACATTGGGCCCTGATTATACAGTGTCTCTGTGGCTGTTGCAGTGTTTACAGTGTTCATTTGTGAGGGAGAGATGATATACATGACCCTGGTTAATGATCCTCTAACATGCAGTGCTTGCAGTCCAAATTGGAAGACAGCATCCAAAGAGGAGGATAGGCTATGCATGATAAATACCTCTCCCACTGCTGATGGAATAGGCTCATCACAACTGTGAAAAATGCAATTTCATTTTTCTTCAGCTTCTCAATTTCCTGTTAATACCTTTCACAGAGGAAAAAATGTTTTTGTCAAAATCATTATTATTTAAAGCCATATAAATTTGAAAGCTCTTAGAAGGCTACAAATGTGAATTAAAATACCCATTTAAATTGTTCCTTAAGTATACTGTCTTTGGTTTATTCCTTTGTTTCCTTTTGTGTATAGTGAAGATTCCTGACAAAGAGCCAATGAAGAAGATTTATAAACTGAGTTTACTATAATCACATTCTGGCCTGTATCAGTATTCAGGATGTATTGCTTATCTTAACCTGAAGTGATGTGCTAATTTGACTTGGAAATGGAGTAAGATGTGGACACAAAGTAAACAATTGTCTGAATTAAATAAAATCATAACTACAGATCAGTGATTCCTCTATAGCGTTTTGCTACCTAAAACAGAAGGCCTTGCTGTTACTGCATGGGAAGCTGCAGTTTATCAGCTGCTGGCAGATAATCAGCCCTGTTCCCAAATTGTGCACTCTCCAGCTTTGCCTGCAGGCCGGCAATGTCACAGGGACACACAGGGCACTGCCAGCCTTGGCAGCAGCAGACCCAGCGTGGCCCTTCCCCACCCCGGTTGTGATGCAGATGTTACATGCACGAAATCCTTCATGCATTGTAACATTTGTTTAGATTCTCAGCACGTGCAGTGGACTGACTGCTCCTATATATTTACATCTGTTGTGCTCACAGAAAAAAATGTGGTTTATTTAGCAGCTTATTCCATAGGAATTCAAGTAAATTCTATGCTTTGTTTTCCTGGTTTTCAAGTCTGTAGTGTTCTCTACCCCACCTATGTTAACCCAGACAATGCCTAGTGAGGTGGCAATGATTTTTAATACCTACAGTAATTTTCTATTTTCAATAAGCTCCTCTCAGCTGTTGAAGCTGAGACACTCTTGTGTGGTTCCCTGAGACTGCCATATTGAACTCCACTTGCCTCCTGCAAACGACAGTAGGAGCGTTCAGTGGAGATTTTGGTAGATGCTGTAAGGATCCTGGACTCTCCTGAGCTCAGCTGGGATCTCTGAATAGGCTGCTTTTATTCCAAGCGGTGCAGACAAAAATACTATAAGGTCACTGCCCCATGCTGTTCCACAATAAAACTGTCCCAAAATAACCAATCCATACCTGATGCTAAACAGTGTAGAGGAAGAAGAGCTTCCCGTTAAGAAAAAAGGAATTGGTAATGAGCTCTAGAGGTTCAGAGAATAGCTTTCAGAGGGAAGTGTGGAAAATCTGTCCCTCAATTCACCTAAAATTGGACTGGGCAAATGACCACAAGCCCAACTACAAATGTTCTGTGCATGGAGGCATCCCAACAGGTAGAGTGAAAGAGGATGGTGATGGACAGGGAGTAAAGAATTTTTCATTTTGATAAGACACTCTTTTAAAGCCATGCTCAATTTTTGAGCAAGATGCAGATATTTGATGTGGTTTTGCCTCAGGATTGACATTTTGGTTGTCTCGATGCTCACTTTGGGAATAATCAAAAATTAGTTGACCTTCACTTGTTAAGATTACCTTTCCTTTTTCTGTGTGTTACAATTCTTAGTGTTTTGTAGCAATCCTTAAAGTTGCTATACTAGTAGCAGAAAACGTGAAGAGCCTGAGAAGGTTTTCTGAGCCATGTCTTGGTTACAGACGTGTTTCTGCCTTTTAAACCATTGTATGGGAGGTGTGATCTAAAGAGACAGAAAGTAACAGTCAGAAGCCATTGACCAGCCCATGTCCTGTAGCACTGCTGTGTGCCGTATGCATGTGCAGCAAAAGTGGAGTTGAGCCAGAGAACAGCTGAGTATGTGGACAGCTTTGAATCCAAAGTCACAACGGGACCTGCTGGGATGTCTAGGATCCTCCCCCAGAGCATTAATGAGAAATAGATGCCATATGGAGGAATTCTCTTGCCAACGGTCTGTGATGCCATCTTTGTCTTCCAGTTCTCATCAATTACAAATGGCTTTTAAATAGATTTGTATTTTATCTTCAGTCAGATGATTTCATCCTCTCAGCTACTAAGGACACTGAACTTTCAGTAGACTCCTCTAGAACAAGATTTTTTTATTCCTGATAAGGCATATTTGTTGCAATGGCTGCTCTATCACTCTTCTCTTCCCTTTTCCTGCATCCCCTCTTCCATGACAGCTGACCCATCCACTCCTCCCCTCAGCACTGTATTTTCTTTTCTTTTGCTGTAGATGCAAAGAACAACTTTACCTTTTATGTTTTTTGAAACTCAGATGTTTAACTATGTAATTCTAGTTGTTTGCATTAACATTTTTGCATCGACTTCTTTCTTTTTTTAAAAAAGCAAGCACTGTAATACTTACAAGACTTGAATTTTGCTCACCCTTGCAGTGATTGTATGGTGTGTGCGAGAATGTTTATAAAATCAATTAAATATACATGAATAGCACATTCAATACAGTAACTGTCACAAGTTTTATTGATGCGGAATCCAGTCTGCATAGATTGCCCTCTCATTTTTAATTCACCTCTATAAAATTCAGTGTTAACTATCAAATTGGATTACACATACCTCTTAGCTGTGATGAGACTGTCTTTATGCCACTTAAAATTTTTTAAGGTCTTTTCTACTACACCCGTAGCATTAGAATCACTTCTTTTTTAGTGTAGGTCTTGCTTTGAGAGCTTCCTAGGCCACAGAATCCCATACATATATGCTATATATAACTATGGAGTGACGTAAAGACAGTGTTTAAATCAAGTCACTGCCTTCATAGTATCTTTGGGTTTAGTAAAAAAAATATTTAAAAATCAACAAACAATTTAATTTGCTCACCAGAATGTTTCTAATGCATTGTGCTGGGACATCAGACCCCAGCTGAGATTTATAAACCATACCTATGGTTTATAGGTAGCCCCTGCCTGGTAGGTTTTGTAGCCAAAATGCAGAGCACAGAGGAGGAATACAGGGCAGACAACCACAGTTTTACAGATGGAAACTGAGACACAAAAGCATTAAATGTGATTTGTAGCTGAGCATGTAACACACGTCTGGTTCTATTTTTGAAAACATCCTTTTCGCTTTCTTTTTAGTTCAGAAAGCATGACTGGAACCGTGGCAAAATTGTCTTTTTAGTATTTTAAAGTAGCTTTAAAAGGTCTTGTCTTCAGAAGTGCTCAAGACTATGACGAACTAGTAAAACAGATATATCTGACATAAGCAGCCTGGTGCCTGGATAGGAAGGAGAGAGTAAAAGCAGTATCAGATTAAAAAAAAATTTTTAGGTCAGTAGTAAGAATATGTCTAATGCAGGTGTGAAGTAAGATTAGGCTGACCTTTTATTACCTGGCATTAAATCCATTTTGTCTCTAGAAACTAAAATCCTGCTGGTGAGGTCTAAAGAGGTTCTTCAATTGGATTTACCCAGACTGCAGGATATGTGATAAATAGCGATTTGTTTATTGTCCCTTGCATCTGTCCACCTTACTTAAGGACTTAAACTCTGCCAGTGTAATGAGCCAGCTGCTTAACTGCTTCCAGATTCTGTATTCTGCAGGCTTGTTCTGTGATGGGAGGTCCCTGGAGTCTGTGGAGGAAGGAATTAGTCTTTTTTATTTTTATTTTTTCGTTTTTGTTTTGTTTCCCTCCCTCCAGGCTGTGCTGTGGCCATAAAGTCAATTGATGACCAACAGTCAAATCTTAACTCTCCTCTGCATGAGGAGTAGCAGAATACATGAGGAAGTAGCCATGAAACACTCCTTTAGCTCAGCCATGCTCCTTCCCTTCACTGCCTGGGCCGTACAATGTACCCTTCCACTCCCATCTTCTCTTAGAACGTAAGAAAAATAAAATTAATTCTTCTGATGGAAGCATCCTCTGAGCTGCAGGGATGGAAAAATAGGATTTGCCTATGTTGGCAATTTAAGGTAAAGCTCCTTTACATTCTTACAGGAGTTGAGCTGTAGCTGGGGTTTAGAGGAGCAGATGGGTACCCCAGCCTTGATGCTCCATCAGCTCCCTTCAGAGTGGGTGTTCCAAGTGTGTGGCTTGTAACTGAGTAATATGAGCTTGACCTGAGAAGAATGTGTGTCCCCACAGAGCTCTTGCACTAAACTGATCTAAGCTCCAGAGGTTTGCTATGCTGTATTTAAATGCTCATACCATTAAAACCACTGAAGCAATATTCTTAAACATACTTTGGTTTAGATCTCAGTGGGACTTTTAAATCAAGAGGACATGATGACTGAAAACCAGGGCTTTGCTATGGAAAAAATAATTTTCTTGTTGTGTAAAAAGAATATGTAGTTATTTGGGGCTGGTTGTTTTTGGCAGTTATTACTGTTTATTTTTCTTGAGCACATTTTCAATAGAAAAATGTATCATTTCAAGCATTTGTTCAGAAATAAACTTCAGACATGACTTTGGACAAAAAGCATCCACTTTCTGATCATGCTAAACCTGGCCAAAAGCTGTATGAAACATCTTACAGTGTGCTTTGGCTTTTAACCTTTATCTTGACAGTACTGATTATAATCTTAAGTAATTTATGTGGATATATAAATACCAAATTGTCTTTCCTTACATGGAACAAGAGCATTGAAAAAGTTTAGTCTCTTAATCACTTTTTAACATGTAATATGTCTCAGTTTGAAGATTCTGCTTAAATCCTTGAAGAATATTTTTTTCATGGATGAGGTTGAACCTTCATTATTTTTGTAGTTATATAACAAATAACTACATTATTTTCCTGACTTGAACTCATCTCTTGAATAGATAAGTTTTTTTTTCTTCAAACAATGAACAGGAGGAGCTTTGATCCTTGTTATTGAGACATCTTTTATTAATGAAGCAAAGTTTGAATTATACAATATGCAACAACAAAAAAAAAGACAATAGAAGGCAGACCATACTGGTGGAGTCATCCAGCTGTTGAAATATAATTTGAAAAAAAAAAAAAGGTCTCTGTGTTAGGATAAAGACAACAGTAATTTGCTTTTGTGCTAGTCACAAATAACACAGAAGGTAAGCATTGATATGATTTACCCTGTTGTGTGTTTTATTAGAGTTGGAGTAAAACATAGTAGCAACTTCCACCGTCTTTTGTAATAGATTTGCATTTTAACAGGGCACAGTACTTGGAAAGTCAGGGGTGAGCTCTGTAGAAGTAACTTTGGCATTGCTGTTTCACACAAGCAAATGAGGACTGACAACCACTAAGTGCAATCCAGGCTTTCTGAAGAAAAATATAGGCCATGGTAAACACAAAAATACATTCCAGCCTGCAGGGCCTAATAAAAAAATAAGCCTCTTGAGAGGCAAAATCATTGTGCACCACCACAGTACGGTTGCCATCAGCTCTCCTGGCAGTGCTGGAGCCGCTGGATTCAGTTTTGATCTCCTGATTTGCCTCCGTGTGTCTCGAATCAAGCTGCATTTTTCCTAGGTGCTTTCAGGGAAACCTGATCTGCCCTATAATCTTGCTTAGCTCCTGGGCATTAGAGTATCAGCACTGTGCATAATTCAAGCAGGGTTATGCAGCTCTCTTCTAACATACAGGGACAAGGGGACAGATTACAGTAATTTCTCCTGATTGGCAAATGAAAGGCAAGGGAGATGCAGTTTTGTTAAATTGCTCCCAAGGCAGTCAGTAGCTGCTGTAGGGAGCAGTCCTGTTTTCCTTTCCTTCGTGCTTCATGTTCCTACCTACCCTTTTGTTTTTCAGAGTTAGAGAAGATATGACTGCACAATTGGGCCAGCCAGCAAAATTCCCCAGAGTCGCGTAATTCAGAGATTTTTGTTTTCCCTAAGGAATAGGGCTGGTGGCAGGTAAAATCTTCCATTTAATTTAATACAAAAAGCTTTTTCTTTGCATCTCAGTATAAGAAGCAAGTGTGGACATGTTTCTTGGTTAAGCAGAATATTTATTAGCAAATTGTATGAGTTTAAATATATTCAAATAAATAACTCCTGCAATATATTAAAATATATTTAAACATAGATTAAATATCTTTCTTGTTCTAGGAGTGGAATGTTGATTATATTTATATCGCAAATTACATTTGTCATGTAATGCCATGGAGTGCTGCCATGGATGGCTACAAGCTCTTCAGAAGGGATAGGCAAGGTAGGAGAGGTGGAGAGGTGGCTCTATATGTTAGAGAGTCTCTTGACTGTAGAACTTAAAAGTCAGTAATGATAAGGTTGAGTGCCTGTGGATCAGAATCGTTTGTCTTCCCAGTCTGGAATCTCTACTAGAGAGCTTCTTGAAAGTAGTTCAGTTCTAACTAATCTTTCGAAGCACATCTGCACATTTCTATTCCCAGCTGCAGAGACTGGATAAAATAAAGATTGAATAGCATTGAAAACCTGTAAAACTGGATCTCACAAATCACACTAAGATTTATTTATTTTTTTTACTGTGCACTTTCTTTTGCCTTCAAGTATCTAGGGGCTTAGCTGTGATTTGAAAGCCTTCAGCATTTTTTCAAGTGCTAGTTAAGAAATTGTATGGAAGGTATTGAATTTTCTTAGTTGTTTGCCACAGCACCTGTAATTTATCATGATTATTCTTCAGTATCAATTAACAATCCATGCAAAATTGCTATATGTGTTCAGGAATGGATTTAGAACTGCTGCAAAGCCTTATTCATAACTTTATGTTAACACTCTTGGTAATGTGGCAGTCATTTTTTAGTACATAACCCTTATCTTTGTTTTATTCATGATAATAATGATGTCTGAGCAAATGTCAGATGGAAGAGATCTCTTAAAGTCAGATTCCAGATTTAATGTTTACCCTGCAATCTCCAGCATAGTTAAAGCAAACAGTTTCTGTAGTATTTGAAATTGCAAATGTTAAAGTTACTCAGCTGCAGTTTTGTCATCTGTAACACACTGTGATGCACAAACCATAACTGCAGGCAACACTTAACTGGTTTTGTTTAGCTTGGACTTTATCATAAATACTAATTCATTGAAGTGGAAACTGAGGTAATATATCTTGAATTCTGTTTACCTTTCTGTCTGGTGCAAGACATGCCTTTATTTAGCAATGTACTCTTTTCCCCTCCCTACATCCCCTGAAATTAGACTCTTGTCATAATTGTTCCAAGGAAAAGTTTTGTAAATAATACAGGCCCTTAAAGTTGAATTGAGAGTTCTACTGGTAAGGCAGATGGAGTCAAGAATGTAAAAATGCAAGCTGGGAAGCTGCACTGGCCTGTCTCTCTCCTAGTCTCATAGTCAAGAAACTCAAAATAAGACAGCTGAGACTGTAAAATGTGTGATTGTAATTCATAACTTCCACCTAGACCATCCTGATCTATCTGCTTCTACAGCTCAGCCACAACTGTTGTAGATAGGATTTGCCATTTTCTGGAATACTACACCACCTTCCATTTTTTGGAATGCTTAGGTGCACATCCCTGGAGGAGTGCTTCACCATGCCATCATGAACATGGGCTGAGAGAGCTGGGGATGGTCAACCAGGACGAGAAGCAGGGGAGACCTTATAGCACCTTCCAGTACCTAAGGGGGCTACAGGAGAGCTGGAGAGGGACTTTAACAATGACATGTAGTGACAGGACAAGGAATAATGGCTTCACACTGAAAGAGGGCAGCTTTAGACAGTATTAGGAAGAAATTCTTTACTGTGAGGGTGGTGAGACACTGGCACAGGTTGCTCAGAGAAGTTGTGGGTTCCCCATCCCTGGATGTGTTCAAGGCCAGGTTGGATGGGGCTTTGAGCAACCTGGGATAGTGGAAGGTGTCCCTGCCCATGGCAGAGGGCTGGAACTAGTTGATCTTTAAGGTCCCTTCCAACACAAACCATTCTAGGACTCTTCATTCACTAGCTGAAAAATAATAAAAATAATATAAAATAGTTGTTGGGCTTGAGGAAAGGCAACAGATGAAACAGAATGTGTTCCTTCTGCTAGGTTTTATTTCAACCTGAGATGCTACTCCAGATGGTAAGGAAGAACATCCTGGCACAGCCTGACTTCCGTGGCATAGCTGGCAGTGTCAGGCTCTTTGCAGAAAGACATGCACTCCCTTCTTGGAGTCAGGAGGATTTGGCACTTCGTGTGATTCTGCATTAAAAGGGGAATTCCACTGTACCAACTTGCAGGTTCTCCACAGTGCACAGGTAAGAACTTAGCATGATTTTGTATCTCCCTTTGTAAAGGCTCTGCTATATTAATGAGGGTTAAAAAAAGTGCATTTCATCCAGTAGAACTCCTTAAAGGAAAAACAAACCTCTCATGAAAAGATTTCTAACTGAATTCGAGGCAAGTACTTCAGGGAGTAGCATACTAAAACAGTGTTATATCAAAAAGCACCTACTTAGGTGAAGACACTTGTGTCAGCATTTGTATCACACACCATGTAGAAGCTACATACAGTGAGTGTTTCTAAGATCAAGAGTAAACACTCTTTAGCTCTTAAAAGCATCTGATGAGCTGGGGGACTGTGCTTTTGACTTCTATACTTTGTCTTTAAATCAAGATGCACTAATTTGTGCTCCTTATCACATAATGCCATGACTTTTACAGCAGTCAGCAGGGATGAGTCTGTTTCTGTACAGCAGCTGAAGAAAATGTCAAGTAGAAAGACATGCACTGCTCTCCTGATACAAATTAGCTTATCACGTAAATGGGGAAATAGAGAACTCTGACCCTATTATAGCAGAATGTAAGATAGTGGATTAACACTCCAGACTTCTAATTAATCACAGTGTGTCTCATCCTCCTGATTGCAGCTGAGTAGGCCATTCTTCTACGTTAAACCCACAGCTGCCCAGTATTAACACTTATCTGTCAGTACAGCCCCTTGTGCAGCTGTTGGCCAAGGTGACAATGTTACAATCCTGCATCGTTGAAAAATAGGCTTCAGAAATATTCAGAAACATCCTTACATGTGAACTATACCTTTATTGTGTGAATACTTAAAAAAAACCCCATAAATCTTAAATTCTAAGAAGTGAATAACACTCTGCTCTGCTTATGCTATTTTCTCATGCAGGTAAAATAAAGAGCAGTACTGATCGTGGTTCTTCTATAACATGCACAAAGTATTTTATACAAACTACAATATTGTCAATTTTTACAGGTTTACTAAAATGGGAATTCCAAAATGTGTCACGTACATACCAAACTTATTTAAGATCACACAGATTAATCTGATACCACTTTTGAGGTAAACATATATCACTGAACTGCTACAACAAGAAGAGCCATATTTAACTACTTATTTTTATTCCAACTTTCAAGACCAAGTTTTAAGAGGAATTCTGCAAAGGAATTGAAGCCATTGAGTAAACAGACACTATGCTGACCCCAGAAAATATATCTGTAATAGGATCTCTCTTCTCAGTTTTAAGGCATGTGAAACCAAACTATTCTCACCATCAAAAGCCAAACTAAGAATTTCTCTCCACAGAAAGACAAAAGTTATTTTCAAAAAGAACTATCTTAAGGCAATGTGCCATTACTACAGGCTGCACACAAACCACAGCTATCCTCCCCTGTTTTGTTTTCTAAAATCTGACAGAAACCTCAGTGGTGGAACAAAAGGTGTGTACTAGTATATATTCAGACAAAAGGACGAGATAGAAATTTAATCTAAAATCTACAGACTCTAAACAAACTCTGTATAATACGCTTTTATTATTCGTAACAGGCATCCCCTTTTTCATTTCACACTACAGAGAAACAGCAACGGACTGATTCTTCAGTTATCTGTCAAACTGTGGAAAAATAAAAAAACTGAAAGCTAACTGAATTTATTACATAGCATTACTGGACTTTCAATCCCCAGGTACATCAGTAGGGATGGTAACGAGGTCCTGGGTTGTAGGAGTTGTAGCCGTATTGTCCGTAGTGGGATGAGCCGTATTGTCCTTGTCTGTGCTGCTGGTAGTTATTACCCCAACCTCTTTCTGGCCTCTGATTAGATCTGTAGTCACCTTGCCAGTTGTACCTGTCCCCTCTGAAATATCTGCCATCTTGAAACCTGCAATGAAAAAAATATAGTTTTGACATAAATTGTGAAGTTTTAAAGAGATGAACGATAATGAACTCTTATATTTACAGTTTTCATTAAAACTGTCATGTAAATGGTAATACACTCAAATACTTATCTATGACAAATTCATGAAAACACATCTACATTCATCTGAGATCAGTCATGAATTTCTTACTTAATACCCTGTTTGCTAAGGACAGTCTGTTTCCTAATACAGAGTACTCACAGGCATTAGGTGAACTGCTGCAAGTTTGAACAGAGACTCAAACAGACCATTTATGTAAACTCAACCAGGAGGTCCATCTGTAGATGTATCAAAGCCACGTTCCATCCAGTACCTTCATGGTTGAAAGCTTTACCAAAGCAGGCTTAAGTACAACAAGCACAGAGATCTGCACATTCCCTAAGATACGTGTGACCGCTAAAATACCACCAGCACAGTCTCTTGCAGATTTCCATACTCAAGACACTGTACCTTCTCAGTGGTATTTAGCCCTTGTTCAGTCTAAATTTTGGCTTTTCAACTGTATCTCAATTCCTATAAACACTTGAGCTGGCCCACAGTTGTTTTGTTTGCAAATGGTGTGATGTACACAAACAACGTTATGGCCAACTTTATGGCCACAGTGTAGATGTAAGAGTTCAAAGAGCCACAGAGTTTTCTAAGAATAAAAACAATTCCTTAAACAATCACCTTTTTCTAATCACCTTCTTTTTAACAGAATCTGATTCTGTGTTTAACTTAATTAGAAGCTTCTAAGGTGAGAAAAAGTTAAAATGTTGTTCTCCTTTTCTTCAGATAAGGCACAAATCCTATTTAGATATTGAGCTAAGAAGTCTTCCCAATTGTTAGATGGGCTGAATTTAACTACTATATATTAAAGGCTGGTGTTAATATTACCACATGTACTATATGCTGTAATTGTTGTTTTTCAGTCGCTCAAACGTCAGATGTAACTGTGCAAAATTCAATAAAAAGCTGTGATTACATCCTGAATAAATAATTCAAAGTATTTTGCTTTGGCAGGTAACATTGTACTTGCTAGACAGATTGGATGATCAATTTTACAGTCGTTTTTACTAGATAAAAGAACCACAGGCTAATCTTACAAAGTACAGCAAATATTTAGGTTATAAATTAAATGTTTATCTGTTGCTAGCTGTCCAGAATTCACACTATTAGCTTGTTCCTTTGCACATTTTACTTCCAGTTATCATCCAAGAGAAGATAGTCTGCTTAGTTTTGCAGAACTCCCATCTTTCTCCTCTGGAAAAATGTTCCTGGCTGAGCAGTAACAAACCCCAGGGCAATGGGTTCAGTGGTTCCAGTTCATTCTTTACTGAAAATCAAATTATTTAGTACTTTAATACACAATGCAAAAATTTTGTCTATCAGTACACAGAAAATATAATACCTCAACACTTTTCAGAGAAGATTATTTCTCTTAAGCATAGTTGCCCGTGAAGTAACAAGATACTTCTATTAACAGGACAGATTCCTAGATTTCTTCTGAAATAAATAATCATTTAACTATATACTCATGAAACTACCAAGATTTAAAAAAAAAAAAATCAGTACCGATCTCTGTTTCTCTGGTTGCCACCAGATCTGTTTCTCCATTCTTCAACTATGGGAGGGGGGTCTGCAGGGCGTTTCAGGTATTCTTGGTATTCTTTATCTTCTGATGTGAATCGATGAGCAAACATCGTTTCATAATTTGGGGGCATGTCAGCCAAGGAAGTCATTCTGAAAACTTTAAATGTGAACACGACAGAAGTGGCTTTAGCAATGTATGATGACTCTCATCGTAATAGCTACCAAAATCCACTTAATGAAAACAAAGGACAATGAAAAGTTACATTCAGATTAACGCAGCTGCTGATTTTTGGGCAAACAACAGATATGATTAACAGAAAAAAGTATTTCTTCAGAACACACTCCACAACCACTCCTAATCCACTTTTGACAGGAAAAACATTACTACGATCAGCCTGAAAAGTTTGCTAAGGTAAGGTATCATGGAAAGCCTACAAATACACATAGAAGGTAAGCAAAATAATTAGGTTTGCAATAATTTATGTGTTAATAACTTAATTCAGGGAAAGGACAGCACCTAAGAGGATGTGAAATTACCTCATAATATGCCTCTCTAATGCAATTTGTGTTTAAGGCCTTAGTTTCCCTATTTTTATATATGTGCCTTTGCTCTTCAGACATTGGTGCTATCCGGTACTGGCCATCAGAAGAAATCTGGCCCTAATAGCAGACACAGAGTGAGCTCTACGCCCACCATTTTAATGACCCCAGGTAATTTAGAGTATTTAAAGCCTTTGCCTGTAGACTTCCTGATTAAGCTCTTCTGCTGTCTCCCAAAGATTTGCTGGCAGGACCGCTATTCACTTTGCAAACTGGAAGGAAAGGAAAGGAAAGAAGGAAGGAAGGATGAAACTCTTTTCTCCTTGACCCCAGGAGGTAAAATATGTACCCTCACTGACCAAGCCCCGTTTTGGGCTTCTTTCCACTGTACCCGTGAGCAGCTCGAGTATAAGGTAAGTGAGGGGTTTACAGGGAATCCGTACCCCTGCGGCCCGACCTGCCCTCTCGCCAGGACAGTGCAGGGGCTGCTGCCTCCAGACCCGTCTGCAGCCCCCCCTCCACCAATGACGCAGCGCACCCCTCCCTGCACCAGGTGTAGGAGTTATTCCTGCAGGATGCCCAGTGACTTCATCCTCTCTTCTGCCATGAGCTAACCTCGTTAGTTTTTATTACAAGTCATCTCCAAGGAATTTCGCTCCTCGAGTCTATCCTGGCTCGGGGTGCGGGGGTAGCGCTGCCCTGGGGACCCCCCGCTGCAGCTTCTCCCGAGCAGCGGGCGCTGCTCCCCGCACGGTTCGTGCTGTTGACATCACACCCATCCCGCGGGGGCCGGTAACGGGGACACCCGTCACCTTCCTCCCCCTCAGGCCAAGCACCGAGCAACGGAGCGGACTGGCTCCCTCAGGGGGGCTCCCGCCGGAGCCCCTTCCCCTCACGGCAGGCCGGGCAGAGCTGAGGGGGGCAGTGAGTCCCGGCTGCCGCCCCCTCCTTCCCTCGTCCCCCACGGCCGCCCCCGCCATCGCCCCTCACCGCGCCTCAGCCGCCGGAGCCGCTCACAGACCCCGCCTCTTCCGGGCCGGGCCCCGCCGCTTCCCCCCGGCCGGGCCCCGCCGTGCCCGGGGGTGGGACGGGCCAGTCCGCCAAGTGAGGGTTTGATACAAAGCGCGTTGGCGTAAATAGTGTTGAGGTTTCTGCGGCACTGCTCTTCGCTGCCACGCAACGTTTTAAGGACACTTGAAATCACAAAATTAACTGGTTTGGAAAAGACCTCTGAGATCATCGAGTCCAACCTTTGACCCAACACCACCTTGTCTACCAGACCATGGCACCAAGTGCCACATCCAGTCTCTTCTTAAACACCTCCAGGGACGGCGGCTCCACCACCTCCCTGGGCAGCCCATTCCACATTCCAATGCCCAATCACTCTCTCTGTAAAGAAGTTCTTCCTAACGTCCAACCTAAACCTTCCCTGGTGTAGTTTAACACTGTGCTCTCGGCCTGCTGCGGGTTGCCAGGGAGAAAAGCCCGACCCACATGTGGCTATAGCGTCCTTTCAGGGAGTTGTAGAGTGATGAGGTCTCCCCCGAGCCTCCTTTTCTCCAGGCTGAACAACCCCAGCTCCCTCAGCCCCTCCTCACAGGACTTGTGCTCCAGACCTTTCACCAGCCTTGTCGCCCTTCTTTGGAAACTCTCCAGCACCTGAATGTTTGGATTTTAACCAAAAGGTGCGACTGAAAAGGGTGAAGTGAGCATGGCGCCTGCAGCTGTAACCCTGTGGCTGTCAATAATGGGATTTAAGTGTGTTTCTGGTATAAAAAACACCTTAGGGATGTGTTGACTGCTTCAAGGGGAAAGAAAGATGACATGAAGCCTTTTGGCAGCTAGATAGTTCCGCATAAACCAAAATAATTCTGTGTTGGCACTGCTTCAGCAACACGTTTACGCTCCTACCTGGTCCTGTAGATAGTGGTCATTCCTGTCACCTTTAATACAGGTGAAGTTATGTGTGAGCTTCAAAACTTGGTTGCTAAGCAAGGCCCTGTGCAGGTGAATGGCAAGATGTGGGGAATCACAGAATCACAGAATATGCCGAGTTGGAAGGGACCCACAAAGATCATCAAGTCCAACTCAGCCCTGCATGAGACCATTCCCAAGAGTCACACCATGTGCCTGAGAGCATAGTCCAATCGCTTCTGAACTGTGTCAGGGTTGGCACTGTGACCACTTCCCTGAGGAGCCTGTTACAACCACCCTCTGGGTGAAGAACCTCTTTCTAATAACCAACCTAAACCTCCCCTGACACAACTTCAGGACATTCCTTCGGGTCCTGTCACTGGTCACCACAGGGAAGAGATCAGTATCTGCCCCTCTTCTCCTCCTGAGGAAGTTGTAACTGCAATGAAGTCTCCCCTTAGCCTCCTCTTCTCCAGGCTGAACAGACCAAGTGCCCTCAGCTGCTCCTCACACAGCTTCCCCTCAAAGCCCTTCACCATCTTCGTTGCCCTCCTTTGGACATTCTCTAATGACTTAATATATTGCAGTGCCCAAAACTGCCCCAATATTCCAGGTGGAGAGCAGAGTGGGACAATCCCCTCTCTTGCCCAGCTGGCAATGCTTTGCCTGATGCTCCCCAGGACACAGTTGGCCCTCCTGGCTACCAGGCCACTTCTGACTCATATTCAGCTTGCCATCAACCAAGCTGTGCCTTCCTCTGTACTGCTGCCACCCGGGCTGTTACTGCTCATCTGTGAAGTGCCACAGTGGTTAAGAACAGCTCGCAGCCTAAAGGATCTGCGATACTGGGGGGCCGTGTGACCCCCCCCTCGGAACAACTGGTGGCATCAAGACCTTCCTGTAGCAGAAATGGTGTCAGTGTCCCTGTTGCTTGTTTGCCTTGTTTACACAGCGCTGATGTCTTTTCAGTGCTGGCTAATTTCCACAACACTTAAGCCAATGATTTTTAAATGGTCTCTTGTGCTATATATGAGAAATGGATTTTTTATAGGACCCTTTCAGAAAGCAATGGTTTTTTACAAGCTCTGCTAGAGACTCTATCGCTTGCAGGCACTAGCAAAGCATAGAAACTGATAATCAAGTAGATCACTTGAAACAAAATACCCCAGCAACAGCAATAAAGGCATCCAATTCTCAAAAAATATTAGACCAAAATGAGTACCCTTTGTTTGATATAAACAGCAATAATTACAATCTGCTCTCCTGTGTGACCTACAGCAGGAGTGTATTGTCACTTGCAGAATAGAAATGATGACCTCAATCCAAACAGCCTAATGCAAATATCTTAGCCTAGATAGCTAGTTCTAAACCAGACCAATTGTCATGGAGGCTGAAAAATATTGTATTTTAGCTTAAGTTTTCCCCGTATAATCCCTGTTCTACCAACTGCCCTTTTGAAATGGGCAGAATTAAGTAGGATTTTATTTCTTCTCCAGACATGTTTCATTTTGGTCATTGGATATTGTAGTTTTG